GTCGTTTAATTACGAAAGCATCGACTAAAGACGAATCGGACGAAAAGTTCTTCAATTCTAAAGTCGCGAAAACTGACTAGGGAGTTCATCAAGGAGGGATTAATGGTCCTTTCTGTATGGTTTGCTCGGCTCGTTCACTCGCTATCGATAAACTCTTGATTAATCGTTGCACCAGCAACGTGCTTTAAGCCTCGAGCTAGTCCTACGGATTAAACTTCAGCTATTCCATTCCGCTTTAAAGACACGCTTCCGATGCGTTCTGTCCATTACCCTTAGTTCCCTCGGTATCGTTTCACCCAACGGCTATATTTTCTGGGAAAATATTTGAGAAAACAACAGTGCACAAAAAGAAGAAGAGGGGGAAATAATTTTTGCTATACCGAGCAAAGGAGGGCTGCAATTTCCTTAGGAAATTAGAAAAATTACACTTTTTTATATTAGGAGGATAGAGGAGAAGAAAATTTAACTAGAAAACGCGTAAACCGCCGAGGTAATATGGTTTAATGAAAATGTGGGGTCTAACAAGTATTTTTGTTACTTTACGCAGCTTGATAATAAGATTATACTGGTTTTAACAAAAAGCACCTTTGCACGAGGCATACTCAACGCTCTCAGGGAATACATTCATGACAATATAAATTTTGCATATTTTCATAAATTCATAAGTTCTATTACTGGTGGCAAATTTAATTAACCCGTAAGAAACGAAGGAAAGATGGTCGTCAAGGCGTACAATGGAATTACGTCTCTGCCATTTTTCTCGTTTATCCTACCTTCTAAAGACTTACAAAGGAACAATTAAATCTATTAGTACTTCTACGTACTTCTTTCTATGAGAAAAATTTATTCTGAACATTCGCGCGTTTAAATTCGGCTCGTCTTGAATGAAATTTCCAGTTGAAAGGCGATCGTAGAGAATGATAGATTATAAGAACGATTATTTAAATTCGCGATGTAACGTGTCGGAAAATAGACTTTGGAAATTTTCTGGATAAACGCGCGGTGTAAAAGAAGACGTGAAGAAGAAGCTTGGTAACTATAGCGCGAACATGCTGTCAATGCACGGAAACCGCACAAAAACTATACGGATCTCCGTTTGGGGGGTGGACAAGAGATTAAGGTAATTCCACCTAACCGATGACGCTCGCTCCAAAGGTTTCAACAGATTAATCGGCAGATCGATCGACGCTTGTGACTTGTGCCGCGAAAAGAGAACAAATTCGGAGGTCGTTACGATTTTCCACGAAACTACAATTTTGTTTCCACGAGGCGCAAGCGACAATTCGTGATTATCTCTTCGCACGCGTTTCGACGAATGTTAATTAAAACTTCTAAAATTCATAGACACCTGTGCTGTTACGTTGTAACGATGTGTACTTTGTATCATTTCGGCAAACGTTGAAAATAAATCATCATGTCAAAATGTTAAATGTCTCTGGCGATACCGGTTTAAAACTGGAATCAAATTTACACGAATGTTATATGTATTTTTCCGTAATAAATACTCTTTGCCACGCGTCAATATTTATCAGTGTACTTTCTATATCAATACTGAGATTTTTGTACGAGATACCATTGCATTTTATCGCGGCTATGGAAAATAAAAATCTTCCGTTTGAAAATAATTTTTAAAACGTGCTATAATTTCGAACACGTCACTATGAATTTTTATATCCTCGTTATTGATTCTCGAACGTTGTTTCAGATGCACCGCAATTTCTTAATCAAACTGTTTGTCACTTGAATTAACAATGAAATTTCAAACTACAATTTCAACCTAGTTCGTTTCATGAACTCGTGTGTATCGATTTCTATGGAGCTCCGGCGATGCGGACATAAATTCTGATGCGGGCGTTATGTTCGTAATCGCCTTTTTGCACTACCATTGCATCTGCCCCGGTGCATTCAAAAGCGATCTCAAAAAGATTCTGATAATCGATCGGAACCGGCATTGTTTCTCTTTTTACACCTCGATCGGTGATACGATACTTTTTGAAAAGTAACAACAAACCTGCCGTACAAAGTGCAGTTTCACTGGAACCGAATAACGTTTCAACTCGTCTGTAACAAAGTGTAAACGTTCTACTGAAAGTTGAAAGCTTTTCTCGCACACTCGTAAAGAGGAAGGAAACGTCTCCGAACACCGGTCTCTGTTCGGGTGTCGCTGAAATAAGCATTAACATACGAGTTTTGATGTTTCCAGTTAACTCGTAACGTTGGAACAGAACTCGTGGTCGTCAGTCATTCGGTCGAAAATGGCCGGGTTTGCCTGTTTACCTTCGAGTAAACTTGTTTCATTTACGTGGTTCAAGTTGCGGAGTATGCGCGAAGGTAGCTGGCAAATAAGCAGTCGTAGGTTAACAGAGGAACACAGTGTATTCCGGTTAAACGGACGGTCTTTTAACCGTGTAACCATTCAGAGGATATTTGGCAAACCAGACTCCTGAATCGTACCTCTTCAATTTCATTATTATTACCAGCTAGGAGCAACGTTTCCAAAATAATTTCAGAGATTTATTCACCAAATCTTGCTGACGAGTGGCTGATTTTTCGCCTCTGTCTGTCCGAACTCGAACAACAATATAAATATACGCCTGGTTCGTTGAAATTATTCGTGACGAGATAAACGGAACCTTAACCCGTGGCGAAAGACTGGGCTCTTTGCGAAAGGAGGGAAAAGGGGTGCACTTGTTTAACCTGAAATCGGCTTTATATCTTTACACTGTAATCCGGACCCTCGTTCCGTCGTTCTCCGCCATTCGTTATCACACCACACCTTCCATCCTCTCGTTTCGCATATTTTGCACACGCACAATTTAAACTCTGGCCGACGCGACGGTAGCGAGGATACCCTGTACATCCTACCGACGAGCTGACTACACAAACTTTCGCGACGATGTTCGTATCAGTATGTAAATAAGCTCGCCGGGCTATCACCATGAAACCGTATGACTCGAATCATTACCATGGACCACGTACTACCTTCCTACCGTTCTATTTCCCAGTCCACCAACGGCTGATGGGCGCTGCGCCCATTGTGAACTGTACACAGGGAATTTTAGCTGAAAATGAATTACATCGCGACCGCCTAGTTTATCGATTGGAAACAGAATTGGACGAGGCTGCCTTTCGTGGGATGAAACGTTGTCTGGAATATTTATCGATGCACTCAGTTATCGGCGTTAATTCATTAACGCGCATTATAAATAAATGTTCGTTTAACCGACCGGTTGGAGAACGGTTTCACGTGTTCGGGAAAAATTCCGACCGGTAATCGTACCGGGAACGTGTAAATAAATTGGACGAGAATTTTACCGAAATAAAAGAACAGTAGTACGATGCCTGAACTGATAAATAGTTTGTTATTGAAACGAATAGCAATATTTTGTTATTATTCCTTTGGTCGCGGTGCTGTTTTATCGGACAAACCATCGTTCTTTTTCAGCTGGCTGAAAAATTCGATGGAGAGGAACATTCTCTGTTAAAAATCTGTTTAGATACTGCGGGGACTGATCAAATTTGACGTCGTTCTTGCTGTTTCAACGCTCGATTGTTCGTCAAAGAGGAAAAAAGAAAGGGAAACCAAACGTGGAAGGATGAAAAAAAATTTTTTTTGGAGTAGGAAAAAATCGAGAACCAAACGAAAACTCGATATAAACCGAAGGTTGAACGTGCCTGACATAGGTGATAAATCGACGTTGAATTCCAATGGAGGCACGCACCTGTGAATACTGTTCAGCCAGCTTTTTTCACATGGAAATGTAACGAGTCTTTGTAGATTTGTTGACTACGCGTGCGTGCGTTAGCGGGAACGCTTGTACAATTAATTTCGCGTTAACTCGATGAACGTGTACAACGCGTTAACGTTGGCGCTCCTCGAATCTACTTCAACGAGCTGTTGCATCAGCTATTCACTGCAATGAATTTTCTGTCTCGCGTACTTTTTTTCTCTCTCCTCCGCTATAGATTGAATTTTCACGATAAAACGATACGTAATTACGCTTTTAGATTAAAACAATGCACTCGTCAATCCGATGGCAGGCAATGAATCAATGATTAATCACGTGTTATATATAGCTCAAGCTAAATCTTTACAACGCGTTATCGAATATCGAAAAAGTGTCAGGGTACACAAAGGAATCGTTTATTCCCATCGTATCGTTTCGTTCAAAGGAATACATTAACCCTTTGCGGACAGATAGAGGGTTGTTCGCGACGTTACAATTTTACTACTTTAACCCGCTGGGTTTTCTGTCAATTTATGAAAATAAATTTCAAGTCCTGCTCGGAGGGAAAAATAAAGTTTTGTAATTTAAAGAATAACGATTCTTGTGCAGCACGGTGGACCCAGAGGGACGGTAAATCGAATGATAAATTATTCGAACCGTTAATCCTCTTCAACGGTTCGGTTCTGTTTTTCAAGAAAATCAGAACGATCCGTCTTGAATTCGAGGAAATCTCGCGGGACAAGGGAGATATTTGAAACTCGATGTATCGCAGAACACGCGAAGCATGTTCGGAATCTTTTGTCCGCAAGCTTTTGTGATCCATTTTTCCGTTCTCCTTTCTCTTGTCGAAAATACTCGAGAAAGGTGGGCCACTTATAGCGAAAGGTTGGAGTTGAATGAGGAAGGTCTAAGGGTCGCAGCCCCCTACTTAAACCTATATCGATTGCAGAGGATTTGAACATTGTCGTGGACGACAGAGACAAAGTCCGTCAGAAGGTCGTGTGTCACGGAACAAGAACCGCCTTACTTTTACGCCACGCCAGTCTATTCAATCTGCCGGCAATACATATACGTTTCGTGATTTTTACTCTCGTCGATGTTACATCGATCACTCGATACCGCGGATTAACGGCGAACGAACGGACGAACGGATACCGCTTCAATTACATAATTGGAAGTTGTAATTAAACGCGAGTTACGTTCCGAGCACTTTTATGAGAACCGTCAGAAAGAAGAGCATCGTTTCATTCTGTTACTTTCTTTCTGTTACAGACAACTACGATGAACGTCTGAAATAACGACGTACCAGATTAATTATCACCATGAGAACGTTGCTGATTCTAGCGAGTATTTTCCTGGAAATACATCTTCATTTCACCGGTAAGTTTCGTCGTTGATTACCTCTGAAATCCGTTGATACGAATATCTTTGACCATTTTTCCTCGACGTTCCCTGGCTACGTTGAAGATGTAATTAAACTGTTTGATGCACGAGTAAAAAAAGTTTCATTTCTAACGTAACTCGAGCGGAACTTTTTGAACGATTGAAATGGTAAAAACACATCGTATCACCATCGATCAAGTAGAGAAAGAATGTGTGCTTCGAGGACGGAAGCTCTTCCGTATTCGCGTTTCACGCAGTCGTTATCGTGCTGACACAGAAAACACTTAATTCACCGTGCTAGCTGATAGCTGGCAAGTAATATCCGGTTATCGTGTTCTCGATGACCGTGGAAAGTTTCGGCTCGTTAACGTCCGCTGAAACTTTCTTTAAGGGAAGAAAAGCATTCGTCAATTTGTCAATAAATTCACGCCATCGAACACACAGTGGGTCAATTAAACGATAATCTCTCTGTTTCATTTAAAAAGTTTACACTTTCTCACTGCAGAATTCGAGGAAAATTAATGGAGATTAATATTGCAGCTACGCGGGCTTCTGGAAACGATTTCAATTTCAACTGTCGCGTTCCCTTTTCATCGAGTCCTTTCCATACCTTGTTATCGCTGCGATCAATTATTTATATTCTCCTTGCTAAGAAACTTGAAACCGTTCAAACTTGCCTGACGGACGATGAATTTTTCAGCACTCGTAATTCTTTCGCTCTTTGCATAGCTCTTTGCTCGCGGAACACGGCCACGATTTTTGGCATAAGCTGCGCGGAAACTTGTATCAACGGTAGAAGAACTTTTCAAAGATTTAAGGCTCGTAAAATGTTACGGTTGCGCGATACCGTTGTGCGATGCAGTGATACGTTATCGTGGACGCGTTTGAAGCTGCCCCCGTAAACTCGATTTTCAAACGCGTACGTTCTTCGACACGGTATCACTAACAATAAATCCACGAATAATTGTTCTTCATTCGTCATACTAAACAAACGCGTTATCTTTCGTTAAGTAGGTCAAATTCGCTTTATTTTTAATTCCAAAATTTTCTACAATTCAGGAAGCTTTTTAATCAAAAGTGAACTTATCGTTTGAAGATTTACGCCATAAAGAAAGAAATTTTTTCTTTTTTTTTTTTCGAAAAGAAAAACTTGGCCCCGACTGTAAAGTAAAGCAGCGCGAAGAGCTCGTCTTCGAGCGGACAAAAACGTAGTCATTTCCTAATGCACTGTAAAAATCGATATCGACGTTGACTTGCAGGTTTTTCGGACGGTTTCTTAGCCTCGAATAAAACGCGATGGTGGCGAAGGACGTTTATCGAGCATCGGGCGCATTGTCCGTTCATACGTGGCCACAAAATACGCGGCACCTCCCACACGTTTCCTGCCTTGTCGTTATCGCTGCGTACCTCGTAAAAAGACGATAATGCCGAACTGAAAAGCGCTTCTACCAAGAGGTAGCCCGTAACGCGATCGAGTACACCTTGCCTCGAATGAAATAGCACTCATACGGAGAACTATCCAAGTGTTACACTCACTTATTAATGAAACTTTGCCAGCTTGTAGAGCTCGTCGAGCTGAACACGCCTATACCCCCTTTTGGAGGCAGACGGCTAATTGTTTAAAAGATATTAACAATTACAGTTAGTTACTCCTTACATTCTGAAGTATGACAAACTCACACATACAACTCGTAATTTAGAGATCCACGGTTCAAATTCTTGGTTCCCAACATTTTTTTTTTTTTTTCAATGATAATTTGTCTCTTTTTGAATAACTATTACATAAAAATTATCATAAAAAAAAAAAAAAAAATTTTTGGGAACCAAGGATTTGAATCGAGGACCTTCAGATTGCGAGTCATGGATCCGCTCCGTGGTTAAACACACGACTCGCAATCTGAAGGTCCTCGGTTCAAATCCTTGGTTCCCAAAAATTTTTTTTCGTCATGGGAATATTCGTCGACGGTTTGAATATTTGTCTGTTAAATTTGTACGTTTCATTGGCGAAGACGAGTTTTCTGGTAGCGGGAAATAAACTGAAAATTTCGATAGAGTCACGGATGGGAGGGAGATTCTGCCTCGTTGTATACCGCTCTCGAAGTCCCTCTGCTTTTGATGGTTTAACGAAATTGGATTCGTAGTCACCAGTCAAAGGGTTAAATGGATACGGCGTCCTATTCGTTGATTAAAAAGCGCAGGGTTTAACGGTAAAGAGAACGCGATGGAGATCGATAAAAGACACGGGCGAAGCGAAGCGGAGACACGGCCGAGTGTATCGTTTCAATTAACGCCGCGTTTCTCACGTACAGTCGGAGAAAATTATAGAAGGAAACGCAGTGGGTGGCGGTAAAAACGCGATAAATCGCGGAAGGGCCGGCGAATCTGGGTCGAACTGTCGGAGGAAAGAAAGGAAGCCGTCCGGCAAGAAAGGCGCTCGTTCGGTAGGGTTGTCGTGCGATCTACGATCGCGTGCACCCTCGCCGTTTCCGCGTCCGCATGCGACTCGTAAGCTCGCCACGTGACGCGGAATCTCACCGAGCCAGGACGATTCGCCGAGTTGAGGAAAACGGGTCAGGTTTAACGAACCGTCGAACGAGCCTCGAGCAGGCTAACGAGTGCTAATTGCCGACGTTTTCGTCGTGTACACGACTCAAGTGCGCGAGTTAAATAGAGGCTCGTTATACAACGGCCAGGCAGGTTCGCGTATGCATCCACGGAAATCTTATTATGTGGCGAACAAGTTTCGCGCGTGCACCGCTATCTTACCTCGCATTTTAACGCGACGAGATAAAAAAAAACGAGGCTATCGACGTTTGGGAAATTATTCCGTCCATCTGGCTGGTTACGCTCCGAAATGAACGAGTGCAAATAGTGTGTCTGAATTTTGAATAAATTGCGCTAAAACGATGAAATTTACAATTGGGAGCGGTAGACCGGAACAGTGCTTTAATTATACAAACATTGGAAAAATTTCATAAACGCGTTGTAGCACGAGACGTAATCATAAATCAAGGAATTACTTATCCGCAAATGAATAGGGATTGTAATTAATAATATCATACTTTTTTGCTGCGTGTAATTCATTCGTGTTGAAATACTAACAAATATTCAATTGGTACACGCGTGCCACAGAGAAATATGCTAATTGTATTATATCAACTTCATTGTATCTTTGTTTAATGACGGTCCATTTTAATTCCGCGTTAAACCGAAGAATATTTTCCCTCGCTTAATTAAAGCCCGGCGCACTGGTGGCCCAGCTGCAGTTGCACCCCCTAAAAACCATCGTCTGCGTTTAATGTGCCTGTTATTCGCCTGTTGTTCAAATACCGGTACAGTTTTGACGTGAAGGAGTTTATCGTGTAGAATAAATAAATCTCTACAGAACGTGTTATGTAAATACGGGCAGAGGGGTAGAACGGGAGGTAGTCGCGCAGAATGGGTAAGCACTTTCGAAGTGAATTTCTACGAAAAGCCAGTAGATTCGTAATAGCTAGGGAATTGCAAACGTCGGGAACGATGCTTCGTAATTGTCGCGACTAAGTTATTCACTTAAGCCACTTACGCCGCAGCGGGGTTACGCGTTTATTGTTGCTACGGCGTTAATCTCGAAGCAAGAGAGAATTTCATTTCACTTTCCTTTCGAGCCCACTATCCCCCTCCTCCCATTCCGCCCTCCGCGAACCGAGCCAAGTGAAAATTGTCCTTAATCTCTGTAGATTGTAGTTTCGTTTCGGCCTTAGAGTTTACTGGGCTTCGCAACCCCCGAAATCTATCGCCAGCTTTTACGGCTTCCGAGTTCTAAAAATCTATCCGAATCAATAGGAAAGTTTACAAGCAGGCTGAGAAATTTCTTAAAAGAATCCGTACCTCTTCGTCGCGCGACTAATGAAATAGTTTAAAAAGGTAGCAGGTAAATTTAATTAATCGCTTGGTGACGTCAATTCTGTGAAAATAGATCGTTTCGTTTCTTCCTCGTTTAATTGACACGTTGATCGCCATCCCTTCCAGCAAATAATAAATAATTGCCGGTAATACTTATTTAAAATAGAAACAAAACTGGCTAGAGATTGCACGAATTTAGCGTGTCAATGTACGGTGCTTTTACGTTAATTGCAAACGAACTAGACTAAAAATACCTTTCTGATTTCTGATGCGCAGGTAGCCAAGCGGAGCATCAGCGATCGTTAAGCAGCGGTAACGAAGTGGTGTCTTCAAAGGAATCCGAGGACAAGAACGAGGATGTCATCGAAGGGCCAGTCAGGGAAGTCCTCGCTCATAGCGGAAGTACTGCAAATCTGCCGTGTAAAATCACCGATCCAGGAGCTGGAACAGTAAATATCATTACGTAACGAGGGTTAGGTAGCAGGCGATTGACCCAGAAAAGTATTTCCAAGATACGCGACCCGTTTTGCCGCGATGTAATTCATGCAGGTTTGAAATTAGTTTCATGCCGATACGAGACACCGCCCAGAGGCGGCTACGTCACTGCGCCGCGTTCGTTTTTCAGCCGCAAATATTTTAATCGTTACACGAATTTTCAAACCCTTTCAAATGCAGGAGAAACACGGCCAGACAAATGAATACAGCGACCGAATTTTAACCGTGGAAAAAGCGACACCGAGATAATACGCGGTTTGACAGGCTGAACCCCGTTGCGAATTTTTTTTCTACCCTAGTAAAAATGATCGTATTGTTCCAAAGAGAATCTAGGTCAGTTTCATAATGCGAGTTAGAATTTCAGTTCGAAGAGCAATTAGAGATATTTTCAAAGAAATACTAAGCACGAAATAAAGGCTTTCATCGGTTCGATTAAAATCGTTTTTAAGATGAATATCGAACATGCTTTTTTCCGGGCTCGCTTTTACTCTTCGCTGTTTCCATTTTTGCAGACTGCCACTCTTTTTCCTATTGGTGTTCTGTTAGCCACTCTCTCTCTATATTCCCGATCGTTCAATTTTCATTTCCCGTCAGTGCATCGAGTCGAGTGATTTTCATTTAATTTCCGTTTGCCAGACGGTACACATACGATGCATCGGGGAGAAAGCGGTCGAACGAAAGCGTAATACACGTATAATTGAGCCTCGATCTTCGAAAGCTGACGAGAGACCGTTTTAACGATTCTAGACGAGGCAAATTTATTCGCGATCAATGCATACCTGCCGTTCCATTAGAATCATTCCAGTTTTAATGAAAATATACTTTTTTATTTTGCTGCGTTTCAACAACTCTTCTCGCGAGTTTCTTGAGAATAAAGCCGCAGAAGCGGTAAAAGGTTGAGGAAATAAAACAGGTGCAGCAGCTTGTCTTCGGAAGTAAACTGTTCACGTAGATCAAGTCGAGGAAAGCAAATGTCAAGGGGAACAAACAAAGCAAAGTTTCAATAAATTACAGTGAAAAACAGGACGGCAAGCTGTGAGCTGATTCCCTTAAACTTTCAATCCGTTTTAGCGGTTCTTTCCCCGCTCTTGTAAATTCAATTTTATCGCAAGTTTTGCACTACAATCGAGTTACGATCGAACCGACGATTTTAAGTGGATCAGAAATTATATTTTCTTCGAGCTCTTTAATTAATTAATCGACCGATACTCCGGCATAATTGCTCGTCGTCGTTAAAGAACGATAAAGAATCATTGTTTCCAATTATGCTATTTTCACTTATTTGAACGTAACAGGTAGGTATTAGGTTTTATTTCAACGCCGTATATTTCGTGTTTCACGAGGAGTCTTTAAGGTTTACGATTGTCGTTTCTTTACCGTAATTGCTAATCTTTTATTTTATAAACCGCAGCTTACGGTCGGTGAATTTTTTTCGATCGCCACGGTACCGCAACGCTATTAAGTTTAATTATCGCCAAGGGTGAAAATTGTAGGAACGGCGCGGTGGTGTTAGCTGGAAAGCATTATTGCCACCTCGATAACAAATAGCTCGGCCACAGTTCTCGCTAATTTTCTTTCTGCCTTCCTGAACTTTTAGACAAATTGCCTCCGTTCCACCCTCTCCTCTTCCCTTTCTCCACCAGGCGCGATTCTTTCACCCCTCGTCTCTTTCTCACCCTTATATATTTCTCCCCTTGCGAATTGCCCGCGAAATTCTTTAAATCGATGAATCAAGTTAAGTATCTCGAAACTCTGAAAAAGTATTCGATCGCATCTATCGTTTACAATTAAACGATTATTTCCTTTCATTTTTGTTTCCCATTTCTAACGCATAGTTTTACGATCATAAAAAGAAATTGAATTCGAAGGTGGCCAATGTGAAATTGAAAAAAAAATTAAGGGTATATTTCACGAATATGGAAAAAATTATATCTGGGTAAACAATTTTGAAGGATAATGTATGTGACGGATATGGGGTAACGCGAACCTTTCGATTGATTCGCATTTTGAATCATATATTTCCTTCCAGCAACTCCAGACCGACTTTCTCCTCCTTTTACCCCGTTCCTGCCGCTTTCTTTTTCCGCTCGTATTCCTCCCCGTTCCCGGTTTTCGACGCGCACGAATATTTCAGAATATTTTACGAGGTTCCAACGTTAAACCGATACCGTAGCAGGTGCTCTGTTCAAGTTTTCTTGAGAAATGGTGGGAGAAGAAGGAAAAAAGGGGCAACGAAGAAAAGGAACGAGAGAAAATCTAGGTTGTGTACACGGAGCTTCGAGAGAAGCAGGAAAGTCTCTTTCGATACCCATAGCGACTAAAGCCAGATGTCGGAATCGAAATCGAATTCCACTCGACATCGCGGCGACGAACGATTTCTTTATAGAACAGATCAGGTCGAGCGGATTTTCGAGGAATTTTTATTCGTCAGATATATATTTATTATGGACGGAGGAATGTATGATAAGCTTTCTTGGAAGAAAATATAAATTCCTCTTAAATGGACAGATATTTCCTTCGACAAATTGTTTTGTATTTCCATCATCTTTGATTTCATGCGTGAACTCTCGGACGGCGGACCATGGAGAGAGGCAAAATTTTAATATTATTTCCATTTTTCAAATTATTCACTGTTCTTTTAAAAATTATTCTTCCAATATATAAAACTATTTCGTTTCACAATTATACCTACATTTAACTTTAGGTTAATATCCTTCTTCGCTATTCAAGGGTTAAACATCAATTCTCAAAGCGAGTTACAGTTTTTTTTTAATCGTATTTCTAGCGATTTGAAGCATATAGGTTAACGACGGGATAAGAGACGCGAAGGGAAACGTTTTTAACGCATAAGGACGTATCGTCGTCCCGGGAACGTATAAGACGATGCTGATAAAGTTGAAAACCAATATTGATACAGTTGGAAATTGCGCTTCGAAAAGCATGTTATTTATGAGAATTTCAGAGTAGCTCTACTTGGCTTCTTTGAATTCTTTACTCTTCAGCCGTCCCGCTAGGGAACACCGGAAAATCGTGATCTACTTACAGGACGAGTACCGTACCGATTCTCCTGCTTTCTCTTGCTTATTGGTAAAAGTCTTTCGAGAAGCTCGAAGCACGAACGAAAGAATAATAGCAATTGTAGGATTGCCGTTCCGAATAAACGACTTCTTCTATTCTTCTCCGAAGACTTCGTTTTCCGACCTTTTCTCTAGCGAGCAAAAGCAACGGTAAACAGAATAATGACACGTAACTGGATCGAAGACGTAGTGGACGATGTGGTTTGATTCGAGAACGAACAGAGGAAAGAGAAGTAACGTGTTTCTTAAGGGTGAAACTCTGTATAGCACCCTTTCGCATTCAACGTCGATTCCCTTCCATTTTCTCTCCTCTATCTGCTCGCATTATTGGCTGTCGTATTAAGAAGGCGAACCACTCTCATCGCGAAAAGTAGAAGAAAAGCCAGTCGCTGGTGGAACCTATGGCCACTTATGTAAAACACTCTGTCCACCGTCAAAAAGCAAGTATACCGTCGCTGTATAGTACCGCGACGAGGGGCATGAATAAAAGATGAATTCATCCGTGTCTTGTGTACGAGCAGAAGACAGAGAAACAAGGGGTGTTGGTTTAGAGAGCGAGCGAACGAAAGAGGCCACGAAAGGAAGGTTGAAAAGAACGAACCAGCGGCTGCTGAAGTGAGAAATCGTACGCGCTTCGGGCTACGAAATATCAATTTCGAAAAAATCTTATAACCAACAAATCTCTCTTTCTCTCCTTCGCCTTCCCTTCTCGCGTCGTCGCGAAAAATACAAGTTGCCGAGCGAAATTGCGAGCAACTTGCGGCGGCGATGCGCGTCAAAATAAAGGGGAACAGGGAAGCTTTGGATTGTCTGCGAAACACAATTTTCAAAGTCGATTCTTACTACAGTCGAGCCCGTGCCACACGCGTCGGCCGACAGACTTTTCCGCGAGGAATAAGAAAAATGAGAAAACGAAAGTGTTTCGCGAAGGAAAGTCGATGGTTTCGATGGGGTTACTCGAATGGGTATTCACTGTTGGATTATTTCGCTGGATGAAATTGATTACGAGGGTTCGTTAAATAGGTTGACAGGCTTTATCCATACATTCGACTGGCACAACATCCCGAGGCTATGTGTAGGAAATAATTTGCTTGATCACGAGAAATCCATGAGCGGATTTCCGAAGGGAATTTCCAGGAACAGGCGCCTTAAGTGGGTTCCGGTCAAAGTAACGTTGATTAATGTTGTTCCAGAGAACTACCATTCGCGTTTGAGAGAACACGCGGAAACTCCACGCTCCGTGCTTAATTCGTTATCCAGTAAAGTTTGAGATCTTTTTCCGAACTACTCCGGTGCTGGCCTGTTTTCGCAACAAACCTTCGAAGCATAATGAAATAAAGCTCATTTATTAAATCGTCCGAACAATGCTTCGTTTTCATCGCAACCCTGCAGCGGACCTCTTTTTTGCCCCCCCTTCTTTTTCTACACAGATTTATATTAACGTCGAGAAGCATAGCCCCTTAAAATCGATACCCTAGACACCTAACTGCTTCTTCCCAGCTTTTCTCCTCCTTTTCTCCAATGATGCATAAAAGATAAAAATTTGCAAATTTTCAACGCGTTAACACGATTTTAATAAAATTTTTGCGAGAAGCGCTCAAATTGGTAGCAGCTGAAACTGGTACAATTTTGAAAAGCGACGGACCGAGATGAATTTCGGTGTCAGTTTTAGCGAGGTTCATGCAAAAGGTACTTTTATCGTTCCATAAATCTGTCGTTACCCATTCAGTGTACAGTTAAAGGCAGCGATTTACGGGAAAACCGCGAAACGAGAGGTCGGCGGAACGTCAATAGAGGTAAATCACACGTTAAGTGCTGAACCGTGTGCAGTAAAGATCATAACTGTCAGCTACCGTTACGATACCTTCGCATTTTACCTTGTCAGCGTAATCTTGACTGCGATGTCGCCGGATAAGAGTAGGATAATGCAACGAGTACCGTGGAACGGCGACGTTCCTTCCCAAGACAGTCATCGTCTTTCTCGCAAATTAAACGGGGGATTAAAGGGAAGAACCGATTACACGTTGGACCGGGGCACGGAGGAAGATGTATACTGGCAATTTTTCAGAAGGTAAAAAAGCACGAGGTAATAAAATAACCCGGTGAAACTCCGGTAAATACGGGGATGTTTCCTCGGGGTAAATATTTCCTTTCGACCGACTCTTTGCGACGAATGTTTCACGGATCCTCCCTTCGACAAATATTAATTAAACCGACCTTATCAAACATCAGTATCTACTTATAAAAGGTTCATCGTTCTTCAAACGTTTCATTGCGAATTCCCAACAATGCCAGTAATTTTTACAATCTTCTGTTGAAACAAAGCGTGCCAGTAAACGTAATGTTCTCCTAGAAACGCGGCTCTAAACCTTGCGTTTTGAACCGTTTCCTCTTACGGTCGAAATTGCGATCATCATAACACGTGCACCACCTGAATCGTGTGTGATTTCTCAGCGAGAGGCGAGAAAACTTTCCTCATTACGGAAATACTTTTGAAACCGTTCCTCTGATAACTGGATGAACTTTTGATGGTCTCGACGAATTATGTGCAGCGTACGTGGTACCGCGCTGCTAATTGTTTCAATGTAATCGAATGAACGATTTCATTTCACGCTAGATATTCGCATTAAAGTATTAAAAGCTCGATCCGTATTTTAAATTGAAAATTTAATCATTGATGCAAGAAAAAAAAAATAATGCTGCACGATATAAAGATGTCTATTATATCCTTAGTATCCTGTAAAAAATAGATTGCAGTCTATTCGAAGAGAATTTGCATAATAGAGGGATATAATTCAATGGGAGGTGAATTTCAGAGAGGTTCCAGTAACAAGAATGGTTCTTTCGAACAGGCTTCTGCCCCGATGAAGCAGTTTGTTAAGATTTCGCCAAGATAGGGTACGCGACCATAACGTTATCCGTTGATCGCATGGAAGGGATATCCTGCAACGGCTCACGGTAATTCCCATTCGAGAGATTAAGAATGGAAGAGGCTACTAGATGCTCGCGGATAGCCGTTTCCAATTAAGCTTTCACCGGTATTGGTGAAACTGTGCTCGAACAGCCGGTATCCAACTAAAGTACATCGCACGTACACTCTACTTGAATGTTACATAAAGACTTTCTTGCTTACCCTCGCTCTAATAGCTTCCCTCGGCAACTCGATGAAACATCGGTTAACTAATTCGCGCTCGGATTTTCACGGACCTTTGAAACAATGTCAAAGGAAATTGGATTCGTTTCGGGAATCGCGAAAAAGTAGGTACACCAGCCGGATAATTGGGTGTACGAAACGACAGGGTGCAACTGTTCGTGTAAATCTTTGTGCAAAATAGTCGGAGCAAAGTATCGGATTGGCGTGTATGCACCGGGGCCGGAGAAGATAGATCCTTTTCAGAGGGGAATCCAGGATTACAGGAAACATCCCTGGATTACGGCGCTAGCTGATTCCCGCAGTGTCATATCCTTGGAAACTGCTTTCCTACGAACGCATTAGATGGAATCGCAGTAATTACGCGCGCGGGGGCGGGGTAAGCATTAAAACGGGTCATCGAAACGGCTCTTCAAACTGAAGGTGGATCGATCGGTAGCGATCGTCCTGATTGAAACGACGATTATTCCAATCTGAAACTTCGCCGAGTCTCGTTCGGAGACTCGGAGGAGACAGCTAGTCGAAATGTAAACACGATTGAAGAAAGATCAACGATAATTCGATATCTTCGATGCTAATTTTCGAAAGCTCTTCCCGTCGAACGGGCAGAGATGAAAAATGAAGAGAGAAATTCCGAACGCGTAAATCGAAGCGAGTTAGTTAACGTTAACAAGCCGGTAATGTCGTTTGATCTGTAATTTCACGTGACGGAGGGGGGGGGGGGGGGGGGGGGGGGAGCTGAATCAGGCTTCGTATCTTTAACGAAATTAATCAAAGCCACTGCTAATGCGTCCGTGCTGGCAGAGCGGAACGCGTAACTCGCAAATGCATATCGCGGCTTTGCGAACGTGCATCATATTTTGCAGATACATATTTACAGTCGAGTTACGTCTGTTTCCCAGGGAAACTCGTTATCGGTTCTCGCATTATGAAGAGTAGCTGGCTTCTATGTTCGTGAAACGTATCCCATGCTTTCATAAGTTTAATACGAACAGCTCGTAACTCGCGACGTTTGTCCAATTCGTTTAATAGACTATTTTCGTCCACTCTGTGTGCGTGTATTTCGACAGCGTTCACGATTAATCTGTAAATTGTACGAGTTCTTTATCAGGCAGCGAAGATCGTTCGCGTACAAATTTTATTCGCGGTAATGGATCTCTCGTAATTAGAGAGGCGCGTTGGAATCGTGACAAATTACACGGGAAGAGGAGCAGAGAATACTTTTGGAAAGGCAGAGGAACGGGTACCGGCAGCGTGGCGACGGGTGTCGGACAAATTGAGTAAAGTTTCGTGGTCAGTACGGTCAGGAATGAAAATTACCCTGAAATTAGGGTACACTAATGGCCTTCGTAATTGATATTGGATGCGAACGTGGCTTACTCCCCTCCCTCCTTCCCTGATATGATACACGCTGTTTCCTATACATTGTTACCGTAAATGCCGTAAATGCTTTTAACGCCTCCTGTCCCGCCGCAACGCGTTTTCCTCTTTGAATTATCGCGAGCTTTCTCTTTAAAATGAATCAACGCGATTCGGAGGTCGATCGCCTTTCGAATTTCATTATTTAAGAATGCCACGAACGAATGTAAAATATACGTATCACTTTGACACCTGTTTTTTATTCCTGTCTTTTTGTCTGACGTTGCAGATTACATGGGTGAAGCACAAAGGTAGACGGTTACTAACCGTTGGCACGAGTGTCCACTCGATCGACAATCGACTTCTCGTGATGCATTCGAGTACCGATTGGTCACTTCAGATACGAGCAGTTACTCTTCAGGATGCTGGTATATACGAGTGTCAGGTATATCCGGCGTTCCATCTACCTTTTATCGTCGCTACGGAGCATCAGCCGAATTTTCTATCATAACTTTCATTCGTTTCACCGTAAAATCGTGTTCACGATTACCAAGGATATATCTCGATGGGATAAATTTTCAATCGTACGCGACGAAGCAACTGGTCGGTGACTCGGCTCGAAATTTCAGATTACATCGCATCCGGTGCAGCGTAACTTCGTGCACTTGAAAATCACGGAAGCGTACTCGATCATACCCGGTGCGCCTGATTTACATGTGAAGCAAGGCTCGAGCCTTCGGTTGGAGTGTCAACTGATGGCAGCCGCGGAATCGCCCCTTTACGTCTTCTGGTATCGCCAGGGTCACATGATCAATTACGACGAGGAGCCGGGGGTGAATGTCGAGCTCACCAAGGGTGGATCGATTTTAATGGTCAACAAAACGAAGCCGTCGCACGGAGGAAATTATACCTGCGCGCCGAGTAACGCCAAGCCGGCGTACGTGATGGTACACGTGATCGAAGGTGGGTGAAAATCAATCGGTTCCCTCGAAATTATTTCCCTTCAGCTATCCTCGAAGGTTTAGAAACGATTGATTCCGCGACGTGAAACGAAAGAGAATCGGGGCTAAAACCCGGCTCGCGACAGAATATCGACGTTTACCGACGTACGATGGAAATTCAAAAGGGGGTAAGATTTGACGCGACCGGAGGAGCATCTCTGCTCGGCACACGCGAGACTTTCGACACGATCGTTACGTACGTGATCGGACTGCGAAAGTGGAACGTTGCGCAGAGAACCAATGTCCGAACGATGGTGCTCGTTTAAAGCGTGGCAGCCACCCCCTGGGGATATTTTACCGTTCCTCTATGAAACTTTTCCTTCTCTCTCCCTCATTGTCCCGAACGGGCTCGGTTAACGGAGTTTCTTTACCTCGTTTCTTCTCTTAACGGGGGTTTCTCTTTCGCAGATATCAAATAAGAGTTTCTAATCTCGTTTCAGAGGAGGAGAAACCGGCGGCGATGCACGGAGGCGACAGAAGGAACCTTAGCCCAGCAATTTTGGCGAGTAACTTTCTAGTGTCCCTCTTGGCGGCCGCCAGCTGGAGGATACCGAGTTTCACCAGCCTTTACCCGACGTGAATCACCGTCGAACTTACGGGAATGGACGGTGTTAGCCGTGCCCGCACCGCCGCGCCGCAACCCGGTTCATCTTCTTCCGCAAGCACGAGTTCCGCCGATGGTCGACCGGATCACCGGCGCTCGTCTTTCCAGCTGTAATTCCGATCGACCCAACGAGGACGTGTCCTTGCCCCTCGACGTCGACGGGGAAACGTCGTCGAGGCGTGCTCGTCGGTGTGTGCAAACGTGAAAATTACCAATCGACCGCATCGTTTATCGAACGATCGTTTCGCGCGAGGACCGGACCGTTTTGCCGAGTGTCTGTCGTGACAGAGAAACCGGGGACTGTGGTGCGGTCTACTCGATCGCAACCCTCCAGGACTTTAGCCACCCAAGAATCCTTTTGTGTTCCCTCTCCTCTCTGTCTCGCATCCCTTTTAATCTCGCAATTTCTTTGCCTCTAGCAACGCGGCCGCGGCCGGAACAACGCGGCCGCGGCCGGAATAAAGATTATCCTTCGTTCTGGAATTGATCTAACGCATTGGCGGTAAAACACATTTCGCTTTTAACGCATCGCGAATGTGTTCCTCTTCCCGTTCTCTCCTCTTCGACGACAGAAAATCCCCCTTTGCATTCGAGCACGGCCTTTTACTCGTTAGTATACATATATTTTCCGGTGTGAACGATCACGGGTGAAAACTATTTTTCTTCGTACGTGAATCGTACGTATAATCAGTGTACACGTATACATTATGTTCGTTACATACGCGGTAAGCGTATATGTATGTATACACAGGTAGGGTGTAAGTTATATACGTGGACTCGAGATGAACGAGCACCGAGCGTATTCGTGACGCGGAAACAGGTGTTCCTTCGTCCACATACCGAATCTCCGATGTTCCACGTCGACGGGCTCTTCCGTTTTATTTTCTTCTATCGTCGGAGATTCGTTCACGGTGTCCCGATCGCGTTAGTTGTCGGAATAAATGGAATCAATGTAAATACTGCATTCTAAGTATACATTCAATAAAACATTAATCGTAAAGCTACCGACCGATGATTGTTCCTAAAGATTTCTTTTCAAACCAACACCGGAAAGAGGATGAAAAATCGCTAAGCGATAAGATTGCGATTCGTCGATGAGCTAGGAGGATCGGAGGTAAAACAGCGTACGATCGTCGCGAAATAAACGAGGCGAGAAAGAAAAGTTTTTCCCGTTTCAGAAAAGTCGGAAGTAAAGTTTAGGGATAGGTTGGACCGATAAACGCGCGCGTTCACCTCGCGCGTTATCCGTCTCTGCTCGAAGTCTTGGAACTTTGCGCGAGAGCTTTAACACGCCAACGGGGTGAACCTTGTTACAAGGGGTAAGCGTTATCTTGCCTTGGAATCCTGTTAAAACGGATTAATTTAACCGCAAATTCGGCTGGAGAAATATCGGGATCCTCGAGGGGGCTGGATAACTTCGGCCCCGAGCGTTATTGTAGCCGCGAAACGAGCTTCCAAGGAAAGCCCCGGGCACGATTAATCGATAAGACTATCGAACGCGAAAGCAGCAAGCTTGTTCGCAGCTCGCTCGATTCCCTACGTCGTTATTAACGATCCAACCGAGGATGGATATCAAACGAGCGACGATTCGTAGAAGATCGTACGACCGTGAAAACGGCACCCAACGAGCAATTAGTAGAACGAGCCGAGGTGGTAACCTATGCAGCAAAGGTTCGTGCCTGGCCACGGCACGGCACCGCGTATCTTCCTACCCTTCCGTCTCCTTTTCAACTTCGACCCCCTTCGACTGTCCTCTAACCTCGTTCCCGGCTTTCTTGCTTTATTTTCCATCCGGCCGGCCAGAACTTTAGCGATAAAAGCACCGAAACTCTTTTAACGGGTGCTAAATTGAAACGTTACTGCAGTAAAGCGCTTTGGCTCCGTGATTCTTTTCAGCAAGACTGCAGCTTTCCAATACAGGAATATTTTCCGACTTTAAATTTCGCGTAGAAAAAAATTGTGCCTGTCAGGTTGCTTGGAAATTCTTGGAAAAGAGAGGAGAAGAAAATTACCCAGAGGACAGGCCGGTCTGTCGATGAAATCGTTTTACCATGCGAACACTAGCTACCTGCGTAACGACTACACACCGAGGCGACAAATAACGAGAGAAAATGTCGATACACCGACGCCGCAGTGGTCCCACATTTCGGTAATCTGTTCGGCCGTGACAAATGAGTCGCGTCGCGTTCGGACGTTTCGCGCGGGCGAAACTTCGTTTCGACCCGAAATGTTCCCGGATGGATTTTCAATTTCGTTCGCCGCCGGTTATCGTGCTCCGCAATAGCTGCGCGTATATCTGGCAATCCCTGGTAATCTATCAGCCGCGGTGCAATTTCCTTGATCTTTTAATCGCGCCCTAATGCAATTTCCCCGATTCATCCCCGCGCCCTCCCCCCACGGTGCAGTGAATCGAATCAAGTAGTTGGCTGCGTCTGCCTTGAATACGAACTAAATTCTCACTCCCAGATGAAACTGTTCTATGTTCATTTATAAACGATCCTTCATTTTTCTGCCTTTAATCAAAGAACAGTTACAACACTTGCATACTGAAGGGGAGGAAGGGAAATAAGGAAGCTTGACTTTAGTCAAGTTTCTATGGAGATAGCGGACGAAAGGGACCGGAAGAGAGACGTACTGACACAGAAAATGAGAGAAGGCTCGAAAGACGACCGAGGGCAGAGGTGTTCGGGAAAGTTCGCAATTTCTTCAAAGAAGAATGAGCGTTCCCATCTAAGCGAGTATGCACACGTAATAGGGTAACTCCGAGGGAGGAGCGCTGTTCCATTCTTCCAGCATCCGTAGGTGGAATTGCGAATAGACGCAACATTTTTTTTGCAATATTCTTTTTTTACGTTTTAAGAATTTGTTGAATTTTCCTTGCATTTCGCTTAATTTAATTCATCCCCATAGGGGACGAGCGCGGCTCGCAATTACGAGGTGAGCGTAAAACAACGGTGTTGATTTCATTTGCCGTGGAACGTTTATCGACGAAGCGTCAACGACTACGATCGAATTAGATCGTAAAAGCTGGCGGTAACATTGCTCAAGATTTCGCCATAAATCTGGCCGATAAACGGTCTCGTGCATATTCGCGGTGCACGTTCCGGTGGACATTAAACTCTGGATACATGTAACCGGGGAACGAAACGAAATTTCGTGTTGCCAACAAACGGGCCACGTCTTGTACAACGACACGCGTGTCCAGCTCGTAGTCGCGATAAAATTGTCAAGCTGATTGCGTGACGAAAACGAGGAGAAAGAAAGAGGGGAAAGGTACGAGAATCGTTTGCCTCTGGATGCGCGTGTCAACGTTGTTTAAACGGTAATCGAGAGAAGTACGACACTTCTGACACTTTATCCGTGAAAATGAAAATATCCGACGTTCCCGGATTTTAATTTCATGTTTTACCGTGCTTCGATGCACCGGTTACGTAGCGTCTGTTTTAAATCCGGGAAAAACATCGCGAAAAAGAGAGCACACAAAGAAATAACGTAAATGCGCGACCGTGGTTTCCGCATTCGGGTAATTACATTATTATTTACGTAATGTTGCATGTCAAGCGACGAAAGAACTTGATATTGTTGGACAAATACGTAACTCCCGTGCACTGTGGCGAAAATTAATAACCATTACAATTAAGCTGAAACAACTTTATTACGAGGCTGGTTTGTGTGCACGTTAAACGACGAGAAAATGAATCGCCTGATTGTAATTATTCGCGTGCACCGAGGAAGGAGCAGAGTTTCGTTAAACGATGATAAGATAAACGTTGAAGAAGAAAATATTTTCAACGTAAAAATGTAATTTTATCCGTACGCTTTTCACCGTACGCTGTAATCGAATGCATTCTAATAGACGTCAATGCGTCCGGGAATAATGCACAGCGTTCTAGATCGTCGAGTTATTGAAAAACGCTTCAATCTGTAAAATAAGAGGGTTTACAAACGATTTCATTTCCGTCCTCAATAGGTAAGAGAATTGAAACCTTTAGCGTTTCATTTCCATTCACTGGCGAAATTGGAAAATTATCGAGAGCCGATTCACGCACTATATGGAGCATCTCGCTGCGATTCGATCTTCAATCCTCGAAGCGACGTCGTTTATTTTACGGGAAACAATGGGCTCTCGCCTGTCGTTTGCTAAACAATTCACCTTCTTATTCCGTTTAACCGTACCGTGTCTAATAATATCGTATTGTCTCGAAGGGAAATAAAAACGCGGTATTAAACTTGAACGCGATTACGTTCGACTCGCTTCTTTTTACAACTTATAAAACGGCATCGCGTACTTGAAACTGATGGAGCCGCTTTCTTTTATGCAGTGTGGGTACTTGGTCTAACTAGCAGCGTGTATATATCGTCGGGTAACGTAAGTACCAGAGCCTCGTGGGAAAGTTCGTGAAAGTGGTTGGATGGGATCGATGTTGCACGCTGTTTTACACGACAGGGATACGGAACCGATGCTGTTCCCGCGGATTGGTCCGCAAACACAACGGCATTCGTTACTTCAACCGGGACAATCTACCCCATTACGATCCTCACGGTTTCGTTTTAAAGAGACAAATTTTCCTCGTGTACCCACGTTCACCCTTTCAGTTACCAGGGACGTTCGAAACACCATCGAATGTAAACTTCAGTTGGGACAAAGGTACTTTATGAATTCGGTTGTTAGCGTTTGACAAATCACCCCTTTTCTGCTACTATCAGTTATGTAATACCGCGTATACGTGATCAAGTTGACCGCCATTTCCCTCTATGAAACATTTACGTCCAGAGAATGCGAGCTCTAGGGATTAATCCGTGTACCTCGTCGGCCTTATCATCCGGCTTTCTTGTTTTCTCGACGATTATAATTACAGAGAATAAACGCGAGACACGAAAGCATCAACTTGAAATGGTAGCAATTTATTAAGTTGTTAACTTTTTGGGAAGGATAGAAGCGTGCAACGTTTGATAGGCACGAAAGTACTTGAACAAGACTCACGGCATCGTTTCCGGCCTTCTATCGCATTGGCCAAATGAAGCGCGATATATCTTGCCACGGTCGAAACAGTTGCTACGAAATTGAGAAACGTCGAGCTGTCGAGCGAGGGAAAGGATGGCCCGTTAAATTGCGTCGATTTTTGAGTTACCGGAGACTCGATCGCGGGCTGACCAATTAAATTTTCAACGAACGCAATTCGTCATCGTCTTTGGACGCGATCGAACATTTTTCGTTCGATCCGGTCGCATTCGGTATTCGAAACATTGATATTAAAGGGCGTAGACCTTCATCCGGAGCGGTATTCCGGATGGAATATTCGATGTTGCCCGAGTCGCGCTTCGACACCGGACTTTCGCTGAGCTTTCGCTTCTCGCTCGTCCAGTTAGTTTTACGACTTCTTGTTCCGCCCAGTGTAATGCAGTTTATCGTTCTCACGGGGATTTCAAACTCCTAAACGCTTCGTCGACCGAGTCGTTTGCCACGAACGTTCCTCTAAAAATTCGTCGATAAACGATTGCTTTTACATTCTTGTGGAAATGTTGTAGAAAGAATGAAACTGTTTCATATACATTATGCATTCTATCTTTCGAGAGAGTCCGTTAGTTTCGATTGAGTCGCGAGATTAATGAAACGTAAGTTGCCTCGGTGTTTTGCAAATTGGCTCGGTTAAAGTCATCTCCGCGAACAGGAAGATTACTCTGATAGAAAGGAAACGGAATGGAAGAGCTTGCGACAGGTAGGAGGGAGAAGAAAATGTAGTCGGAAGCAAAACGGAACGATGGTGAGCAAAGCAACATAAATAGCGGCATTCCACGTGGAATTGGAGCCCGGCACAATTCCGTAGACATATTTGTCCCGGGCGAGGAGCACACAACGTGGCACCGCTTTATGGTGAAAGATGCCTCGTATTACCCGTCTGGCAAGTCGGTTTACCTCGGATATACTACGACCGTGGAGAAATACAAGGAAGTTTCGATTGCGGACCGTCTTAAGACGTCGACGGAATCGTTAAGTAAAGGG